AGTCCTGAGCTGTGTGCCACCTACTGTCCTGGCATAACTGGGTACACCTTCTTACATGTAGGGATTTCCCTGTCTGTCCAACATAGGCACAGGGGCACTGTATGTATGTAATGGCATATATGACATTGGTAGAGGTACAGGTAAATGAACCGTAGAAGTTGTAATTAATTTTATTTAGTTCAAACATGATGTGGTTTGTGTTGATGAGGGGCCACAGCTGGCATCTGGGTTGGGAGCATCAAACAGTATCTCTCCAGCAACAGACTACCTAACATAACTCCTGTTCTCATCAAGGCATCAAACTTTGCTCCAGACCCAGAAGTTTAATTCATGCATGTAAGCAACATGTTGCAGACAAAGTAACATGAACACTTAGCACATTTATCTGTTAAAGTTAAATCATTCTAAAACTTTTGGTTTTATGCCCATACTTTTGTTTCTTGCTAGTCAAGGGTTTACGCAATTCCATTGTCTCAGCAAAACATGATTCCTTAGCTGAAAATCTCAGGCAACCACAATACTTATACACACACTTGGCTTCACAGTGCCTCTCCTAGGGAGCCCTCGAGCAGGAGCTCTGAGCCTGCCATTGAGTCAGCTCCAGCTGCCCTGGTGTTTGCTTGTCTCCTCCCCAGGGAAAACCCTGACACTCACCTGCCATGTCTTAGTTGTTAAGTTCAGTAGTGGGGTTCCCCCTGGTTGAGGAAGGACATGCTGGGAGGGATTGCTGACAGATGCTCCAGGGCCTCCACCTTCCTTACACCCCTTCTTTGTGCCAGCCTGTTGGGATGGCCAGAAGTTTATTAATTCAACCCTTTCTTGAGTGCCATAGCCCCCAACATCCCCAATCTTCTACTCTTGACCTCAGAGGTTGGGCACTATGTTGATTTGGTTGGCTGCTTCGTTCCTGTTGGCTGTGGTCTGCAGCTCATCTGCCATGGATCTGGCAACAGTTCAACAGCCCTGGCCCGACACAGCTTCGTGGGTATAGGATTGACTCTAATGGTGGATCAGCCCTGTGATGTTGGGAGTCTCTTAGGGAACCTGGGGTGCTCAGCCCCCGACATTAGTCCTCTGACCTTTTCTCCCAGCCTATGGGGCCTCAAAACAAAGAGAAAAGAATGTTGAACAACTTAAACTTCAGGGAGGGCCTGGGGCCTCCTCCCTACTCATGCGTCCTGAGACTGAAAGTGCCAATCATCCCTCAGCACGATCCTGGGTCCCACCTTACTTCCTGGCCCTGGTTCTGGGTGCTCCTCCATTGGGGAATGGATCCCTCTGCTGGATCCCTGCCAGGACTCTCACCTTGGGACAAGGAGGGTTCCTGGCCATCCCAAGAGGGGGATTCCCAGCCTCCTCTGCTGCATTCCCACTGCCTTTTCCCCACTGCCAGCTTTTATCACACCTGGGTGGTGCCTCCTGATGACATCATCCTCCCGTGCCGGTTCCAGCCACATGGAAAAGCAGCTGATGAACCACATGGGAGGATTGTTCCCCCATGGCTCACCACCTCTGAAAAAGATAAGTTCACCCCACTCATGGGGCTGTTTTTCTGGGGTTGCAGTGGGTTATCCCCACCATGACCCTGACTGCAGGAGAGGGGTTTCTGCCCCTCTCTTTTCATCCCCCTGGGACAACTTAAGAGAGATTAAGTATAGATCAATTATATTCCACCTAATGCAAAAAATTAGGCAAACACCCAGAGGTGTAATTCCACAAACTATGGAGAGAATGACCATAAAAAATAGAGAAGTAAATTAGTTCCTTCTTTCCCTGGCATGTGGTTCCTCCTTTAATTCAATAATAATTTCTGTGTATGGATTCTTTCCCACAAACATGCCTTGCCTCTCTTCCTCTTCCACATTGCCAGGTGAATGTCCACATGCCCCTTTCTCCTGGCACCCAACACCTCTTCCCTACATCAGTCATCCTCTCTTTCTTCTTCTCCAACTGTTATTTTTTCCTACACCAGGCTTCCATATTTCTCCTCAAGCTCTTTTTTATCAATTCCAAAACCTATATACTTCCAGTCCTTTCCCAAGCACCCTAGTATTTCCTAAAACTTTGTAATTTTCCCCTCCTTGACCTGTCAAAACCCTGTTTCACCCATCTCCTTACATTCTTCCATATTCAAACCCTTCCTTTCTCTCCTGGGATCTCGCACTGTTCCCCTCCATCACATGTCCGTTGTCCCCTCCATCACATGTTAAATAATCCTGCCTCACCCAGGCTCAGTCTCAATTTCCCTAATTTTCTCACCTTACCTCTTTCTCTCTTTCTTTTACTAGTCCCCTGAGGTGGGCAGGAAGGATATCTGTTTTGTCTCTGCACAACTTAGCTCTCTTCATTCACTCCATAAATCAGTGGAAATAGAAGTTGGCTTTTAGTAAGAGCAGCGTTAGTCAAGACTCTCCTGGCATAAGAGCCCCTAGAGATAGGAAGCTGCACTGCATTTCCTCCTTCAGCTGAAGCTAACTGTTTAACAGCTGATTGGCAATAAAACATTTATGCATCCTATATTGTGTTAACCTCCATTCCATGGGAACTGCACTGGAGCTTCCCAGGAGCCACATGCAACAAGAAAACTACATTTGACCACCCTGATGCACACATACACACACGCTTAAGGAAAAGAGCTATATATTACAAAACATATTTGTTATAAAATACATATTTTTCTTTTACAATTTAGTTTCAAAGAAGATTAACAGGATTCCATATATTCATGAATGTTTCTAATCTCCTTTTATGTTTGGGAACATTATAGACTTTCAAATTTGAATGTCATAAGTATGGAATGTACTTCATGATATTTAGTTGTAAGGAATCTCTCCAATGCTTCAAAATAACTTTAATAGCAGCTGCAATCAAGATGTCTGCAAGTTTCTCTGTGTGATTTCACTTACCTGTTCCAAAATACCTGTTGACTTAAATCTTACTCAAAGTCCAATAAGCATTTAGATTTTTGTTTGTTTTATGAGGCATTAGGGGGAAAATATTGGATATGTGAAAACAGAATTGCAGAAATCCAGATGCTATACAGGCTAGCTCCATCTTCTATTTGTAGTGACTAATAAGCTCCCTATAACTGTTGCTTCTTTAAAGAATGAAAAGCATCTAGGAATTATTACAAATTAAAAAAAAGGAATCAATAATAATACGTTGCATTTTTATTATGAGCACCTCGTGTATGTTCCAGAACATTCCAACTATCCACGGAAAGATGATCTATTCTATCAACAGTTCCTAAACAGCCCCCTCTGAACTTTTTGGATCAGATTCTGATTTCAGAGCCTTATGCTACTTGTAAGCAAATTTAAAAAAAAAACAACACTTCCCTGTGTGTGCAGCTGCCCTCTCACCAAGCACCTAAAAGAGGCTAGTCATTTCTGTGTTAGTATTCATTCTTTCTCTTGGACTATGTAAGAATGCTCCACTGGCCCTGTGATTTGGCAGAAGGGTATTTCTGGAAAATGAGCAGGGTGCTTTAGGCTGGGGAAGGACAACATTTATGTCTCCACTGCCCATACAGGAGATAAGGGAAGGAAGATAATATAGCATCAGGTGCCACTGGAACTATGTTTTTGGAGTGGTGTGGCCACTGGATACCAAAACTGGACAGAAGTATAGGACCTCTATATGAACCCCCTTGCTTTCTACCAAGACCTCAGGATCAATGGTGTTTTAGGGTTTTCCTGTGGTCAGCTTGCAGCAGGGCAAGCACTGTTTCCTTTAATGAGAGAAATCTCTGAAGAAAACTTCCCTTGTTGCTTCCACCCACAGCAGGTAGTCAGACCAATTATATGGTACATAGCAGTAGAAATTCCACTAGTTTTGGTTATATTAATGTAACCAACATCAGAATCCAGCTGAAGAGAAAGAAGATTAGCTCAAAACCATATGGTATGACTGAGCTAGAGAAGACATACAAAAAATGTGTGCAACACTGTTGGCATGTGTGGCATGCAATGTTTTCATTGTGATCAAGTACTGGAGTAATTATATAAACGTCCCCATAAATCATCTTTTCAAGTGCAAGATGTTTATAGTACATTAGTGTTAGATGTACAAAGTGAATCTACGCCTGCCTTTCCAAGTGTTGCTTCTGGAAGGTGAAATGTACACAAATGTTAAAGAGTGCCAGTTCAAGAACCAGATCTACAGTTTCATAAAATTAAAGAAAAAGACTTCTTTTCAATCAGAATCTTAGAAAATAAGAACAATGGGCTGATGTATTAAGATGTAAAGAAAACTAGAAGCATTCAGAAAATTGTGACAGAGCATTACCTTAATATTGTAACACTCAGCTAACTGTCTGTTGCCTTTGTTGCAGCCATAATTAGTGTCTAGGTCTACATATAAGGATGAAGACACGATGGTACCACAGCACAAATGGAAATGGGTCACCAAGTGAACTGTGAGTGACCTTGCCTCATGAAAGACGATGCAAGACCCCTGAAAGAGGTGTTATGTGAAGATTTTGAGGCCGAGTGCAAAGCCACCTAGGTAATGTGTGCACATAGCCTATAAAGGGGGGGGGGGTGTGTGTGTGTGTGTGTGTGTGTGTGTGTGCGTGCGCGCGCGCACATGTTTTTTGCTGGGTCTCTGGGGCTGTGTGTGGTTTGGAGCATGTCTGTGGGTGGATGTGTGGGTGTGAGGTTTTGGGTCTGTGTGTCTGAGGGCACGTATGTGTAGTGTGGTCAAGGGAGTGAGATTGATTGAGTCCAGTGTTAGAGATTGAGTGAGGTGTGACAGCATAGGGAGAGGCTGACTGAAGGAGAGCATAGGCACTCCATGGAGGCTGTGCTGTGTATACTCCAGAGGCTCAAAGGTCTCCTTGCGGTTGCTCCCCTCTAGACTGCTTTACCAAAGTAAATAGAGTCGGCTCCCCAGACTTTTCCTCCCTGGGTGTATTTGTCTTTGGCCCTTTTACTTTATTAGTAAGTATCGCCTCAATCCCTCCCCTCCTTCTGCTGTCCTTTTATTAGTTAAACACCCTTGTTAGAACCCATTCCAGGGTGCCCTGCCCTTCACAAAGAAAAGAGAACTCTCCCCGGGGCTCCCGCCGGCTTCTCCGGGAAGTATCGCCTCAATCCCTCCCCTCCTTCTTCTGTCCTTTTATTAGTTAAGCACCCTTGTTAGAAAGGCAGCAAGGTGGGAGGTAAGCCACTGCTGACCTGTATTGGAGGACAGACAACAGGTGACTGATCAGATGGTGGCAGAGATAAATAAAATTACTCTTGCCCCTCTGTAATATATTCCACTCCTTCCTCCATGTTATAGCTAATTGATTAAAGTTTGTTGATTAGTTGTGGTTAATATTTGTTAAATGTTAGTTGCTCTTGCTATTAATAAACAGTGTTATTCATTTCAGTGCTAACTGAGTGGGTGGTAGTTAACCCAGCTTCATCTAATTGACTAGTAAATTGGGTAGTGATAGATATACCCTGGTTTACCAGGTAATTGTCTCAGGACCAAGAAAAACCTCCCTTTATGTGAGTGGACAGTATAAGGTACAGCCCATTGAGTGATCTTATTTAATTAGGCACTTAATTGAGTTCCCACATAACACCTTCATCCACTACAACACTGCAACCATGTCTTCTCTGATTTCAAAATAAGGTGAATGGAGTTATATCAATCTTATGTTAAATTCAGTTTGATCGTTCTTTTAACCACTACTGTAAAAAATAAAATTGCATAAAAATAAAACTAAGTAAATATAGCAGTGTTTTGGAACTCCAGCTGACTAAATTTTTCACATGGAAGGTTTTCCTATTAAATGTAGTTTCATCAAAATCATAATTTTTCATGGGGAAACGCCATTTCAAATAAAAACATATTGGGCATGAAATGGATTCATCACTATAGACCTGTTTACAATGCTTCCAGACATTAGAAAGGAAAACCAGAGTTAAGCACAGCTTTACCACAATACGCCCATTTATTGCATACCTCTATACACCCTAAAACAGGTGTAATTTAGACACTTTCATAGAATCATAGAAAACTAGGGTTGAAAGAGACCACAGGAGGTCATCTAGTCCAACCACCTGCTCAAAGCAAATACCACCCCCATTCAGTAAGGGACCCAGACTTTCCCTGATTCTCCTCTTGTTACTGACATACTTGTAGAAACTAGGGGTGCATGAATAAAGATTTTTTGGGCCAATGTCAGTGGCCGATTTTTAACAAGCCATATCGACCAATAGCAATCCAATTGCCGATACGCAGGTCTGGCTGGTAAATCTGTTGTTGGAGAAGGGGTGAGGGAAGGGGCATGGGGGTGCAGATTGAGGCCCCCATGGTGAGGCAAGGAGTGGGGCTGGAACAGGGACTGTGCTGCCAAGGTAGAGCATGGGATGGAGCCACAAGTAGCTCGTTCAGGGGGTAACTCCTACCCTACATACATCCCAGGAGGTCATGAGGGGCGTGTGCTCCCAGATCTGTACAGAGGGCAGGGCGGGCTGCTGCTGCAGGCTGAGGCCAAGCCAGCACTGAACTCTTGCCAGCAAGGGACTAGAATGGGCTGCACTCGGGTGGCAGCAGTGCTGGGAGAGGGATTACAGGGGAGGGCTGTAGCCACCCCAAAATTTGCTGTAGCCCCCCTCCCAGCGCTGCCAACCACCCCAAGCACAGTCTGGCCCAACCCCTCACCAGGAAGATTCCAGCACTCCCCCAGCCTCAGCCCACAGCAGCAGCCCACCCTCACTCTGCACACAGATCCAGGGGCACACCCCTCCCTGTGTCTTCCTGGGGTGCATGCAGTGGTGGGAACCACCGCCTTCCCCGGCCCCCCAGATGAGCTACTCATGGCTCCCTCCCATGCTTCACACCGGCTGTGCAGCACCTGCCCCTGCCCCCACCCCACTTCACTGCTGGGGCCTTGATTTGCCCCCTCCCATGCCCCTTCCCTCACAACACACTTACCAGCTGGACCTGGCTGCTCTCTATGCCGCTGGGCTGCATTCCTGGCCGTGTGTGCACTGTGCTGTGGCTACATGCATGCACTGGGCATTTATCAGCCACATTATCGGCCACATCAATTTTCCTTATATTGGTGCCGATCCAATATGGGGCCAATGTATTAGTGCACCTCTAGTAGAAACCTTTGTGTTACCCTTCATGTCCCTTGCTAGCTGCACCTCCAATTGCACTTTGACCTTCCTGACTTCATCCCTGCATACAGGAGCAACACTCTTAGACTCCTTCCTATTTATTTGTCTGAGTTTCCACTTCTTATAAGCTTCCCTTTTGTGATTTAATTTACTGAAGAGTTACCTGCTAAGCCAAGCTGGTCTTCTGCCATACTTGCTAGTCTTCCTGCACATCAGGATGGTTTGTTCCTGCACTTTAAAGCAATGCTAGGCCATGCTGAGTAATCTTATTGTCCCTGCACCACTATTCATTCAGGACCTCCACTTTGGGGCGCAGCACGCACTGAAAGAAGCTGTACTTTACTGTGATGTTCTTCAGCAAAATCCTAAAACAGTGTAGGTATGCCCTTTATCTTTTACTGCTTTCAGCCTTACAGCTTGATATTGTCAAATCTTATGAGTTTTGCCAGGTCAAGATGTATTAGCAGTTGCATGTAAGGCGATCATTGTAGAAAACCAAAATGTTTCTATAAGTGGTACTGATGATTCAGAAAGTGCCATTGTTCTCTTTGAATCAAAGTTAATCTAATGTTCCAGCATGAGGTTAGGGGTACTATTCTGAAGGAGACACTTTCTGTCAGAAGAGGTATAAAATTGATTTTGTATATGTTTAAGCCCCAAACCATTTTTAATATAAGTAATAACATATTAATACCTACCTCCTCTCCATTTTTCATTTACATTGCAAATCACTTTATATAATAAGTAGACAGATGTAGCACATATGCATAAGAAACCTAAAATCAAACTAAAACTGGAGTGGACAGATGAAGGATAATGCAACAAAGGATAATTTCCAGTATAACCCAATTTCTTCAATAATAAACAAACAACCACAACAATCTGGATGAATCAGCGTTAAGTTTACATCAGAAAAGAAACGTAGTTAGCTGTCTTAGTCTAATACTAATGAAGTAGGCTGTCACCTACAAAAGCTGATGCCTCTCTGAACAAGTTAGCCTCTAAGGGCATGTCAACACAAATGGAAATATACATTCCCCAGGGACAACTAGCAACACCATATATTTGTACCACTGCTCGCTGTCCCCAAGGAATGCATGCTCTGGCACAGAGCAAGTTGCCCTAGTTGGGGTAACAGAGGCTGGGGCCAGCAGCCTTATCTGGGTCCTCGGGGCCTCTCAAGGCTCAAGAAATGTTGATCTGGGTGCGCAGAGCCTGGCTGGCAGCTGGAGCATGGCTCTGGTCAGCCAGGCTCTGGTGTTGGGCGGTGCCCATTACAGCCATGTGTGCCACCCCACTTTTTCTGGCATGGGTTTTTTTGACACTGGGATTTCTCAGTGTCAAAAAACCCTGCCATGCAGCAAATTAGCAGCATAATGAACACATGTATGTGTGGGGTCTGTGGCACCGCAAACCACATGTGCACATTCTTGGAGACATGCCCTAAGGTGCTATCCTGTCTGGCCTTCTACATCAAAAAGGAACAAATAAGTATAGGTTGCATGTATTCACTTCATCAGCCCATATTAGTGGATTAGCCAGCCCAAGGGTATCCCACACTGTTTAGTTTCTCCCTACATGACAACATATTTATGCTTCCTTCCCACCTCAAACTCCCTGGGGTTATGGGCATGTGACCTGCCTTTGCATAGAGACAGGTGGAAAGGCACACCACTACCAGATTGTGCTGGTCCTGGCTACTAAGAATACCATAGCCTTCATTTCTGATTGGTGCTATATTGCTTCACAAGTGATCTCATCAAATGGGAGTTTACCCTGTCCTCCTCTGCACATATTGTTAGTTGGGATGCGGAGTAACAAAAAGCATATTTTACCTTTCTGGTGATTTGTACCCATGAGGGAGTAGTCATTGTTTGCATTCTTTATATATGAGTATTCAGGCTAAAAACAAAACTGGCTTGATTCAACTTAGAGCATTTTATCTCACAGCAAGTCCCAGACCTTAGTCCCAGACAAAAGGACAAGCCCATTTTCCCACATTAAGTAGCTGTGAAGTTTACCAAATTAACACTTTGCCTCAGAACAATCATGGCTACATGGAGTTAAGTGCCATTTACGCCCCACGTGTAAATGAATGTGCTACATCTGTTTTGATGCAGGTCATATCCCAGACCAATCAATGTCCCATTAAGCCAGTTGTCTGTTTTTAGCCTTATAGATATTCTTTGCATTAAGGGACAGAGTAAAAAATCTCCCACTTCATTGTGCCCATGCACATGCACCATGAGCTTTTAAATGCCCTGTCACAATAAATTTCACTGTGTCAGTTAAAGGTAATATATGAGGTTATCCATCTGTTTGCAGACCCACTGCATAAAGAGTTATTTGCACAAACACAGAGTTGCTACTTTTTAACACATCTTTAGATTCCCAAGGCCTCAAATTGGCACAAGACTGTTTAGTTTCTAATCAACACACATCCTTTCTAGCCATTTGTACCCTTGGGGCAGTCAGAGGGTAGATGTTTCCACCAGTTTTACATGATATTGCATTCATACAGGATTTGAATCCTACCCTGCATATGTGGCTGTGAAAAGAGGAGCTGGCATCCCTCAACACTAAACAGATTGAATAAAGAGAAGGGAGTATGGAAATCTAGAAAGAATTTGTGTGTTCTTACAGTTACACTGCATGTAAACTAGGATTACCATACATCTGGGTTTCCCAGGAATGTTCTCTTTTTGGGTCTTTCCATCTCCGTCTGTACAGTTTTTTGAAATGTCAACAAACAGCTGAGATTTTGCTCTGCTCAGCATTGAATTTTCTCCCAGAACTTCTCATCTTACCCTAGCAAGATCTTGCCTTGGGGCTGGAAGGAGCAGGGAGGGGCGGGGGCAATTGGAGACAGGGGCATCACATACATCTGTACACACACGTGCACGTGGCGGGCATGGAGCTAGGGTGGTAGGACCAGACTCAGCAGCTGCATGCAGGTAAGTCTAGGTGGGGCAGGGCTTGGAGGGTCAGGGCTTGGGGACAGTCGGGGGGTGTGCAACTGTGCG